TTATCCGTTATCAACCTGCCTGGTATAAATGCACTTTGGGACTCAGATATAATACTATCCATTAGGGGTTTCATTCTCCGGGTAATCATTTTAGCCATAATCCTATAAATTACATTACTAAGCGCAATTGGTCTCAAATCAGAGACCTGCTCAGGAACATCTTTCTTAGGAATTAATACGACGTCGGTATTATTCAGACCAGGTGGCAACGAGCCTGCATTCAGACAGTTTACAATAAAAGTCGAGATATCACCCCCCACAATATCCCAGAAATTCTGATAAAAACCGGGGTTCATCCCATCCGGCCCTGGTGCCTTATCTGGATACATTTCAAAGAGAGCATCTTTCACCTCCCCAACCTCAAAAGGCCGCACTAATAACTCATTTTGTGCCTGAGTTACCCGTGGAGTAATATTGCTATAGATCAGATCACCACTCATGGGATTACTAGTTGTAAAAATATGCTTAAAATAGTCCAGAACCACACCCGCCATATCATCCCCTTCCACCCATTCACCACGACTATCCATAATTTTAATTAAAGTATTTTTATTCCTTCGGTTCGAGGCATACCTATGATAAAATTTCGTGTTGGCATCAGCATCCTTGAGCCAATGCTGTTTGGCCATCTGCTTCCAGTATACATCCTCCTGCATCTCCACTCGGCATAGGTCCGTTTCTAGGTGGTTATACTCATCCAGGGATGCGTGATCAGTACATCCCCTGAGTTGATCTTGTCTTTTCCGGAGCTGCTAAATCTTTTCCCCAAACTTATGGTAACGGTCTCCCCCCCATCGGGTTAACCGTTTTCCACAGTGTGCAATACAACTTTGTGCGCCCCTACTCCTTCCTTCCTCCCATGATGCAGCAACTAATGCTCTACACCCCTCATCATAGAGCCATGCCATCTCAAAACGAAATCTTCGCCCCCCACCCCTCCTGGTCCCATATTGTCGAATCCCCATGAAAATAGCTGAATGATCTGATCTTCTTGTCCATAGATTTGTAACCGTGACCCCATTAACAATATCCCTCCAGTGGTTAGTGACAAGTACCTTATCTAGTCTTTCCTGGATCCATCCAAGAGTGCCTATGCCCGTCTGCCATGTGAACTGATAACCACTCATTGATAACTGCGTCAAACCACACTGATCAATAGTCTCTCCAAAACCGCGTAAGAGACTATTCGGGTGTGGGTTTCCACCTTTCTTCTCATACTGATACAGGAGATCATTAAAATCGCCAATCACAACCCAGGGTAGCTCAGATCGTGTTGCCAACTGTTTCAATAAATCCCATGACTCAGTTCTTCGTGTTCGTTCTGGATAGCCATAGTAACAAGTCATCCTCCAATTCGGGAAACCACTTATATTAACTTCCACATCAATATGCGTCTTCGAGTAACCCAGTAATCTTGCAGTATTGTTCTTCCTCCAAAGTAATTCTAAACCACCACTACGGCCCGTATTATCAACATAAAAAAAGGCCCTCGTAACCAATCTTAACACGAACACGTTCAGCATGTATTCGTGCCACCTTCGTTTCCATCAAAAATACAAAATCAGGTTTCTTCTTGGACACCATGTCCACAATTGCACGAACTGTCCGTGGATTGCCCAAGCCACGACAGTTCCAACTTAGAGTACTCATTGTTGAGGGCGGGTCTGGGAACCAGAGCCCGCCTGTAGCAAGTTTTTTGAACTTTCAGCCATGTTAACATCCGTATCAGTCAACTGTCTATCATCCTGCCTACGCCGTTTAGTCAACGCCGTTACCCCGGCCCCCCTTCTCCTCCTCGGTTTGGCAGTGTGCCTGTTCATTCACGGGCGGAATTTCCGGCGCCCCACTCATAGATCCATGACGGATCGGCGGATCCTCCGAGGTAAGCAACCATGGTTTTCCAATTGGCCGTGGGCCTCTTGCCTGACCAGCTCTCATCCATACACCATAAGGATATTGCTCAGGTGTCAAAGTCGAGTTCATAGCTTTCAAACAAAACTTTTCCGAATGCCCTAAAAGTCCACAGAAAAAGCAGAAGGTATGTAATCTTTCATATTTGAAATTCACCCATCCCCATGACTTGTCCCGCCGAATTAATTTCATTCTTCTTTTCAGAGGTCTATCCACGGGCATACAAACCCTAATTCGGTAGAACGCTTTGAGAGGCCCCTTCATCTGTCTTTCATCAACCTTTAGGAACTTCCCCAAAAAGTTCCCTGTCTGTTCAAGCACCGGTACCGTATTATAACCAACAGGCAGGTTATACACCTGCACCCATAAATCAACAGTATCAAGCACCATATCTTCCGGCAACTGACCATCCTTCACCTCTTTACATAACAACGTACAATTCTCAAAGGACCACGGTCCCTCATCCAAAACTCTCCGGACATCTATTATGTGATGGAATACAAACTGGAAAAGATTCGGTTGGAGCTCCGTGATATGCACACCACTAACCGGTTTCCATGCCGAGGCCATTACTTGTCGCATGTACTCAACCTTGATCAATCGTTGTGTCAAGAACCGCCCGACCAACATCCAAGATTCTGCCAACGTGGCTGCGTCATCGTCGACCGCCGGCGCCTCAACACCGACGTCCTCATCTTCTGGTACTATATCCGCCCATCTGTCCGACAGGCCAGCTATCGCAGCTTCAGACACTGCCATGCCTGCGCTCAATCTTCCCTGTCGTGTGTGCTGTTCCTGCGTGTTTTTTCCGTCGAAAACTGCTTCGCTAATACTGTGCCGAGGACGAAACCCTAATTTTGGGAGAGAAAGTGGAGAGAAACCCTTACGACGAGGGATGATAGTTGTTAGCTGATTGAGTTAATTAGAAGGTGTAATTAATTGTTAACATAGTTGATTGTAGAGATGTGATAAATTAGCTGTTAGTTGATAACTGTTTAGTATAATTTCTTTTCTCAAAACGCTAATTGAAAAAATTGTTTATAGTAGCTTTATGAATTTTAGCATTTTAGAATACAAAAAGTTAATTAACCAAACACTTATATTAATTTTTAAACTAAACCAAACAACTAATAGTCTAATAATGGCTAAATAAGCTAAAATTGACCTATAAGCTAACTATTTTATCACACATGGCCAATTTTTTTTTCCCGAAGAAATAACGACGAAGAATGATTCTTAGTTGGTTAAAGGAAGTCTAGAAGAAAAGTCCCAATGGTGGTGTTACAAGAAAACATCTCTAGAGGGTCCTTTGTTCAAGCAAATGATATGATTTACGGGCAGTAGTTGGGCCCAATATCCAAAAGCAATGACGTTAGAGAGAACTTTCTGTATTACCTGCACTTTAGGAGGGAATCCCTTAGAAACACAAGGGAAGATAGTGAACAATTTGTAGTTGCACTTGCTATAAACCTAGGATTATAAGCCCAAGTCACTTACAGAACGTTTGGTTCACAGAATAAATTTAGAGGGAATAGGAATGCTATTCTACAGGGAATGAAATAGGTAAGGAATAGAATATGAATTGTATTCTGTTGTTTGGTTAGCTGAAGGAATAGACTTTAGTAATTGTATTCCAGTGTTAGGTTAGTTAAAGGAATAGAAATGCAATATGTTTTAAAGACATAAATATCCTGATACAAAATAATAATAATAATAATAATAATAATAATAATAATAATAATAATAATAATAATAATTATTATTATTATTATTATTATTATTATTATTATTATTATTATTATTATACAAATACATATTTATATTTATATTTATTTTCTCACTTATTCCACATCGGTTGGAGAAGTAAGGAATGGAGCCTTGAGGCTCCTATAAAAGGAGCCTCAAGGCTCCATAATTTCAATTACAATGCTCATCCGCTAGACAAGCTTGCAATGCCGCTAGGGATGCAGATGTGCAGGTTACTTAATTTAGGAGCCAAGGCTCCATAACTAAGGAGTCTTATACAGTTAATTTTTTTTATTTACATATATATATATATATATATATATATATATATATATATATATATATATATATACACACACACACACACACACACACACACAAATAATTTATATATATATATATATATATATATATATATATATATATATATATATATATAGATTGATGAATAAAAATTATAATTAATTAAATATATACATTTATATAATACATTATATTTATTAAATAAATATAAATATTATATAATGTGCAAAGGGTATTTTTGGTATTTGTGATATAAAAGCTATTCCCAAGGACATGGGAATAGCTAATAGTGTCTAATACCAAGGCCCCCTAGGAATGTGTTCATTCCTAGGCATGTTATTCCAATGACAAAATGATCCAATCAAACGATGAAATAGGTCTATTCTAATAAATGTTATTTCGTTCCTAACCTATTCCATGAACCAAACATGCCATTAGTTCATCAATAACCCCGGCCTCCAACACTTGCGTGGTGGAAGGGATTGGCCACATAATTGGATTGGCCGAAGGAGAAAAGGTCAAAAAAGTCAAAAAAGTGGTGAAGCTTCGGATGGACAAGTTAAAGGGTCTCAACCAATAATTCAAGATGATAATACATGGTTTGAACTTCGGCGGTGACAATGTGTGAATTATGTTTGAAGTGGGCAGATTCCTTGTGTGCATCAAGATTTTGCCCTGTTCGATGAACCATTGAGTCACCGTGATTTACATCCTCCCAAATGCTCTGTCGGGGCGAGGTGTGGGGGACCCTTAGCATTGGGGATTCAACCTTTAGGAGAAGATGATAATGAGGTATATCTTCAAAGGGAGAAAGCTAGGTTGGGAAATAGCTAGATTAGTGAATTCCATTTTTGGTCATAGTGTTATAAGGGCCTTTTCAATTTTTGTCCACGATAATTATTTTTGTCACATTGCGATCACTGTTATTAAAATTGTTCCAATTTCAGTCCACGTTAAAATTTTCCGTGACCACTGGGAGCACGTTGTGGATTTATAACTAGTATTTAAATAAACACTTATAAATTTATGTGTACAATCACACCAAATATAATATATAAACAAGAAACTTTATTGCTCAAATGCTCAAACATATTAGAGTATGTTGGATCCATGCATAAAGCATTTACAATTTTATTGCCCCTTCTTATGCTCTGTAAAGGGATCCAATGATTCATACACTTTTGTAATTTATTTTTGTCCCATACATTATTTGTTATCATTATTATTATTATTGCAATACTGCTAATCAGCTCATTCCTTAATTAGTTAAATTTAAGCTGATACTTTGAACTTTTATCGGGACGGAACACTCCAAAATGCTTCTCCACTGCATCACCACCTTTCAGGTTTTCATCGTACATGGCGAAAAGGTAAGTCTCAATTGACCTTCCGGGCTTCATCGGAGTCCCAGCGTTTCCTTTAACATGTGCGATGAGATTCCTATAGTACGTGGCAGCATTCTGCGTCGTCGCCGCGAAGCCGCCGGCGGAGGGCCAGCCGGTTTCCGAAACAACAATGGGGACGTTAGGACCGCCGGCTTTCTTAACGGCGGCGTACATGGAGTCGAGGAGCGCGTCGAAGAGGTTGCGGTAGCCGACGGCGTTGGGGTTGGGGTCGGTGAAAAGAGCGTAGGAAAGCGGGATCTGAGAGGGGTTTCCTCGGTAACTGAAATAAGGGTAAATATTGGCTAGCAAAGGGAGATTGTTTTGGGCGAGGAATTGGACGACGGGGTTCATTAACCCCTTGGCGTCGTCCCGGAAAACGCCTTGATTGGGCGGGTAGGTGTTGGTCAGGACGGCGGAGTAGGTGGCGGTGGTGGCCTTGATCTTGCCCTGCAACCCAGCCGCCGCTAGCGCGTTGTGCACGTTTCGCAAGGCGGGCATGACGAAGTTGACGTACCGAGCCGTTTCGGGGTTTCCGGCGAACACCTCGTTCCCGACGGCGATGTATTTGAAGTTGACGGCGTTGGCGAAGGGTACTATGTTGGTTTGGACCCAAGCTCTGGCTCGGGCGGGGTCGGTTAGCTCTTGGAGCCTAGGGTTGGAAACGTCGACGATGACGGCGAGGTTGCTTCCCCTGGCAGCGTTGAAGACTGCGGGGTCGGCGGCGTAGACTCGCAGACCTCGGATGCCACTCCTCTTCATGAGGTTTATGGTATCGGTTTCCGATGGTAAATTGTTGCCGTTTTTACCATAACAAACTCCAATGGACTCTACCCCTGCAAAGGACGACAAAATGAATCAATGATGAGGATATATTACCATGCGTGATTAATTGGATAATTCAATTCCATGTGGTTGGGTATGTCCTGTGGGGTTGCATGGGCAATTAAATCTGAACCACTGATCTTGCCTAAATCAACTTTCAAGATTAACAAAATTAAAAAATATATATACAAAATGCAGTGGCAATTTGGTCATTTTTGAATTTAGGTCAAATTTAAGACGTGTGATTTTTCTTATTAAGGTGCGTGGTTTTTGTACTTGTGAGTTGTGTTTTGTGCTTTGTGATTAAGGTGCATGATTTGTGTACTTAAGGTGAGTCAATTGTTGAAACTTAAGGTGCGTCGGCCTAGCCTAAACTGCATGGCCGGTTTTCCTTCTTAAGGTGCGTGATTTGTATGCTTAAGGTGCGTCATTTTAAAACTTAAGGTGCGTGATTTGTGTTTTTAAGATTCTTTGTTTGTTTGATTAAGGTGCGTGATTTGTGTATTTAAGGTTCATCTTTTTGTAAGGTGCATCTTTTTGAGTTAACTGCACGAAAAATTACCATGCGTAATTAATTGGATTAAAAAAAATTGTTTTTGAACTACAATAAATTTTGGAAAAACGATCAAATAGGGAATTTTACCTAAAAAGTTAATTAGACCCTTACACTTTCAAAAGTTGTAATTAAATCTACAAATATATTATTTTGAAGCATTGAATTGAAGCTCAGAAACTATTTGGTGACCTGTAATTGCAGGTCACTAGGGTTCCGGCAACCCTCTGACCAACTATGGCGAGTCTTGTATCAAATTCTAACCGGTCGCGTTTGGAGAAGGCAGGCCAAGGTTTGCCTTCTCCAAACGCGACCAATAACCATTTGACGGTCGCCAGTTACCAATGTTTGTCGTTAGAAATCAATCAGAGGTTCGTTGGAGTTGGTCGAAGGGTCACCGGAACCCTAGTGATGACTTGTAATTACGGGTCACCAACTGATTTCTGGTCTTCAATACTCCAAAATAACACGTTTATGGGTTTAATACTTTTGAAAGTTTAAATGCGTAATTGGCTTTTTTTGAGTAAAATTTAAGGGCTTATTTGACTTTTTTTTCCATAAATTTTTTATACTATGATGATATTAATTTTTTAGTTAATTTCATTTTTGGTCCTAGATTTATAGGTGACATTCCACATTTAGTCATTTTTTATCAAAACATTCCTTCTTGATCCTAGTATTATTGTGACATGACCAATTTTGATCATCTATCAACACAATCGTAGAAATTTCGTTAAATAGAATGACATTTTGATCTTTTTAATACAAAGTGCGTTAACCCGTTATATATTTTATATTTATTTTTTAAAAAATTCATAATTGAACAGCGAAATGCTCTTGTATTTAACACAATTTCAATAATTTTGTTGATAGAGGACCAAAATTGGTCATATCACAATAATACTACTATACTAAGACAAAAAAAAAAAAAAAAAAAAAAAAAATTCTGATTGAAAAGAACTAAAATTGGACTACCATCTATAAATCTATAATGAAAAATGAAATTAACTCATAATTTTTCCTTACTAATATTTTTATTGCTTAGACTTTTTATTATTGCTAAATAACTAAAAAGTGACTCAGCTTTGACACCCTTTCGCATGGTTCTGGTTTTGAAACCATATTTAAAGAAGTGCACCATGTTCAGTTAATATGTTCGAAAATGCATCAGATTAAAATGCACAAATACACCATAAAATGCACCAAAGTTAATGATGTATTTCTCAACATTTTGTGATGCATTTATGCGTAATAAATGGTGAGTGACTACATGGCCGTACGGGAAACCCTGTCCGCACGAGAATCTGATCATACCCTGATGCATTTCTGAACACGTAGTGATACATTTGTACATACATAATTGGTGCGAAGTCGCACAATCGCATGAGAAGCAGTAACCACACCAGATCTTGCCCTGACTTACTTTGATATCTCTAAATTAAATGATGTTAGAAAACAAACAAGACTTGATATGTTAAATAATATTTTTACCATGTGATGCCAAACTATTTTAGTTTTAGAATTATAAATTAGAAAAACAAAAATAAAAATCATTTCCACCATGTGGCACGTAAATTCAATTCCATGAAGATGAACGCATGTAAGGGCAAGCATCTAAACAAAATTAAAATACAATTGGTCCATTTGATCCATCCCTACCACGTGGACACAAATGTTATCCCAGATTGTTTCACATCACTGATGAATCAATTTTGCAATCGCCGTTAAACTTGACAATGATCAATTTAGATTATGTAATAATAAAGAATCTACTTGATTTATCGTCAAGAATTGAGAATTAAAAATATTTTTTTTTAAAGCTATGAATAAGCACGCAGACCAACGGCGTTACCTTAGAAACGTTAAGAGTTCAAAATCCCTTCTTGTAAGAAAAAAGTAATATGATCAACACTTTGTTCTTTAATTGGGCCAATCCGTCCTGTGCGAACGTGAATTAGTCTGAAAATGAGTTTAAAGGCGATTTCTATAGTTAGGGCCTACCTATTACACTTCCAATCGTTATATCCTACACCACGGCGCACATAGCACTGTGCGCCGCGCGCCTCCCAAAACGACGTCGTTTTGGGGTAGTGTTGGGAGGCGCGGTAGGAAGTTGCTGAGATTATGTGTATTTGTTCACAACGTTATGTGTATTTGTTCACAACGTTATGTGTATTGGTTCATACAGTTATGTGTATTTTTTGTACAATTATGTACATTCTTTTTATACAATTATGTACATCCGAATCAGAAAATTTGTGTGTATTATGTTAAGAGTTGATGTGTATTATGTTAAAAGTTTATGTTTATTATGTATTATGTTAGATTATGTGTATTATCTTTTAAAAAGAGTATGTATATTTTGTTATATAATTATGTACATTCATGTATAACATTATGTCTATTCTAGTATAACATTATGTACATTCTTGAACAGCGAGTTTTTTTTTAAAGAAAAAACTACTGCCATTCACTGGGGCGGGAAATTTCAAAAAAAAAAATAAATAAATAAAAATAAAAACGACGTCGTTTTGCATCTGGGCGCATAGTGCAACGTGCGCCGTGGTGTAGGATATAAATTGCCTTACACTTCATGGTCTGACAAAAAAAAAAAAAAAAAACTTATTTTTTCATTCTCCTAAATGTAAGATGCATGAGAGAGTGAGAGAAACCTGTTATGTGTAGCAACCCAACAAGTAGGAGAATGAGTGCAGCCATGGAGGATTTGCAAGGCAGTGGATGTTTCAGAGCCATGAGGGAATTGAAAGGAAAACGTACAAAAAAAATTATAAAAAAGGACAAGTAAAGATGTGGTTGATATGATGAACCAATATACATTTGTTGCTCATTTTATAGGCAAACTCGAAGCCTAACAACGCCAAAATCAACTCTTTTGGGTCAAGTGATCTGTGGAAAATTAGGACCAACGTAATAAAAATAGGACAAAGAAAAAAAATCAAGCAATTAATTCTCCTATCAGATTAGTTTTCTTATAATGTACATTCAAACGCCATAAATGGTGGGAGACTACGACATATGTTCATCAAGAATAGAATTTTGGGTAATAGCTATAAATAACCACTAGTGCAAAATTGAACAAAGGAGACTAACTTTTCGCAACTATTCTAAAAAGAAGGGTGGTGTATTCTTTAATAGAGCGTTTGGTTCACTGTAATTTAACTGTAATTGAATTGAAATTCAATGGATGCCTCAATTAGGGTGTTTAATTTGGTTGGAGAGAATTACAATTCACTCCTTGATGAAGGATGATATACGTTCAGTACAGAAGGGGGCACCGAAGTCTTTTACACATTAGAAGCAGTTAGCCGGCTTCAACCTCTTTTCCCTCCATGGCTCCCAGTATATATACTAACCACCTGTGATTAGCTTGTGTGTAACAGAACAGATAACTACCCTCTTGTAGTCATGAATAATATCTTTCACCTTCTTCTCTATTCTAGCTGACTTCCATTCATCTTTCCATTACTCCTTTTGTTGAATTGCAATTCATGGGTTACCTCCATGAATTGCAATTCAATGGATGTGAAATTTGAATTCCTACTTTATTTCCACCTTATTCTTTTCCCATCGAATTACAATTCATTCTCCCTAATTCTATTCATGGTGGCAAAATTGTAAATATTTGGATAAGAATCCATGATTGTTTCTGAGTAAAAGTAGCCGTGGTATGAAAAAAATGTGGGTAGTTTCCGCAACCGTTCCACTTAGAATATGTAAGTATTTTCTCTAATATAATATATTATAATATATTGTATTATTAAGTGGTTGTGGTGCAAGCTAAGTAGATGATTTAGTGAGTTAGGTAACTTTGGATATTCAGTTTAGCTTTAACTGAATATCTGCCTATATTGATGACCTGTAGGCTTCTAAGCAAAATGGTCCTCCCACATCTCTCGTATTCAACATACACACACCATTTGGTATTCACACTAGTGGAAATTATGGAATTTCCGACCATCTGAAGTGATCTTAAATCAAGTCGTAAGTAAAAAGTGGTCGGAAATAGCAATAAAGGTTTTTCCGGATACCAAAAGTGGTCGGAACAAGGCTTTCGACTTGATTTAAGATCACTTTCAGGTGGTCGGAAATTCTATAATTTCCAGTAGTGTCAGGAGAGAAGTGGTAGACAAAACACTAATGTTATTCTGCACGTTTACCATCCCAACACAGACAATTCCAACGACTTTGGTGAAGGGTAGATATTCAAATGATCCTAAAGCTTCTGCTGTTACAAATCAGGTTCCTCGTTATTCTAAGTTTACTTTAGTTTATGTTAGTTCATATTAATATCTTACCGAATGATCATGGAAACTACCCGAATTTTAATAAAAATAAAATAAAATACACTTTCGTCAACCGTTCCACTTAGAACAATCGCGGAAAGTCCAAGTATCCGCTATTGTTGTACAGCAGTCGCAAAAAGCCCTTTACAAAGGTCGTGAATTAGTTGTCCTGTACTAGTGAACACATCATATTTAGGAACAAATATTTTTTACGTAATATATAATTAATAAATACCACAAAATTCTGATATTCTTTTATTTGAATTTTTTTAAACATCAAACTTTTACCCTTTCAAAAAAAAAAAAAAAAAATTTAAAGTCATAAATTTACTTTTATAATGTCCCACAAAAGCTAATAATATAGATACTTCTGTAGTTCTCTAGTAAGAAAAACAATCTTATCCAAGAATAATAAAAGTTTTTGTAATTACAGACAACCATTGTCAACTAATGCTAAGTGTTATATTAAAATCAAGAATTATACACTTATCATTATAAAGTTATACTTAATAGTAAAGATATAATTTTATTTTATTATATTTATACGTCACGTTTCGATGCTATTGATAGGGATAATTTGAAGTTAAATAAGAATGCTGCTAAGAAGGAAGGATAGAAGTAGCTAGCATGGGCAGCTAGCTAGTGTGTGATTTTCAAGGATGGCGGCAAATAGGTTTTACTATTTAAATAAGTTGCATTAAGTCTCAAGTTTTAACTTTGGAAGGAAGCTATCTTAATTAAAATATATGAAGTTATGTTTTTTCACTCTTTGATGTTTTCCATATATAGCGTGTATAAATATAATTAGTCTTGGTTTATCTTAGTGCGTGTACCCTAACTAAGAAAATATATGGTCGGACAAAAAATAATAATAATAATAAGCTGCACTAATTGCTTAATGGCAAAGCTTTGAAAACTATTGAGGGTTTTGAGCTCACTGATCAAAGAAAGAGTTTTAAATGATGTGAAAGTGAAAATGGATTTTGAAACAGTGGTGGAGGCTTTGTGTTAATAACATGTTTTCAAAAGAATTATTGTTAAAAATATCTACTCGGGGTTGTTAATGTTTATGGAACATCAATTCATAGTTATAGCCTATGTAATCTTAGCCCGTACGGGTTTAGCTCACTGATTTAGTAGATAATATTTGAGAGAAGGAGTATATGTAATCTTTTACGTACAAATAGTGGTACAATATAATCAAGTTCAGAGATTACAACTAAAGATGGAGAGCTGAACTAAAGAAGAAGAGTTGAACTAAATTGTTAAGTAGTTTAAATCCTAGTTCAAGATTAGTCGCAATACTTATAACTTGATATTGCATAAGTTTAAAAATGTTCGATTAGACAAAAGTCTTACAATTCTCGCCCATTCAATGTTTTGGGACTTTAGAATGATACAACCCTTGTTCTTCACTTTGCAAAATAAGGGGAAGATGTAGAGGAAAAGTAACAAGTGTGCTAATTTTTTAACCAACATCTTGAGGGATGGAGATTATTGGGGTAGAATGGTTTTGAATACCCTCTGGACAACCGTCGAACCTAAGAGAGCTTCTTTGGGTTGATGCTACTAGAGTCTTGACGCGAAGGTTATTAATTAATTGTGGCCATTCAGAGGCCTTTTCTATAGCACCCTACCCCGCCTCGCCGCCAAAAAAAGAAAAGAAAAAAAAATATTTGTTCAATTGCAAGAAATTAAACTCATTAGTCATTATATTACAACCCGTTCCTTTTTAAATATTGTTCTAGACTTGAAGAATGAAAATTTTAATTGCAATTAATTCATTGCTTTAAATCTTTGAAAATTTTTTTAAGAGTTGCATTAGTTAATTCAATGTGTTTTTTTTTTTTTTCTTTTTTTAGTTTGGGGTGCTAATTGAACTTTTTTGAGTTGTAAAATGGGCTATTTGACACTTATCACTCAATGTTCAATCAAATTATAATAAGGTCATAACTAATCAAACAATTTACTTCAGTTTCAACAATAATCCAAAAATATACAAGTTCATATGTATTATTAGAGGATTAATAACTAGTTAGTTAGTTAGTTATCTTAGCAGTTTTAGCTGCTAGGATAGTTACCATTCAGTTACATAGCATATGTACTTGTATACCTTCCCATAGCACCATAGTACTGTTGCATTGTTTTTATATTTGCTTCTGCAAGTTCTCAGATCTTCAACTGAGTAAACGCTTTTCTTTCTTCCTAATCTACTTCTATGATATAGTATCAAAGCGCTGAGCTGCATTCATGGCTTGGAATAGCGCATCAATCAGACCACCACCAGCTACGACAGTTCCGCCGAGTATTCTAATATATACAACTATAATAGTGGAGTCTTATAGTACCCCAAGTACAAGCTAAGGTTGATGTCCCACAATAATGTTAAGCTTGTCACGTAAGAACGCAAAACGGACACCGGGAAGAATTTTAGTCGTAAAGATCGATATCAACTAGTTTCTTTTTTTTCTTTTTCGATCAATCTGAAGGAGAATACCCAAACAATACAACTAAAGTTGGCGCCATACGGGAACGCCCAAGCAATCATCATCTAAGATATCCATTTATGCCCTCATCAAACCAGTTGGTGTACGTCTGATTCCAGATTCTTTTGTGGTCATCTGGGGCAATAACATCCCAAACACTGTTCGCATGATATGATCCATATCCTTCGGAACATTTCTACAGAGGTGGCAAGTTACTTCAGAAGTGAAGCCGCGTCTAGCCTTATTCGTGTTCGTCATGAGGTGGTCATGCCGTGCGAGCCATAGAAAGGAGCAGATCCGGTGGGGTACCTTGAGATTCCAAATGGAACTCCATACCATGTTGATATTCGCTAGAGGACCTCCCAATGCAATATCATAAGCTGATTTAACAGAGAAACTACCGGACTCACCCATTTTCCAACCCAGGCTATCTTCCAGATCAGGATCATCTATTATGGCAAATGCAGCCAACATCTTCAAATACTCCTCAGATAATAAAGGGGACAATTTTCCCCACAGCCATCTCGAATCCGGTGCCCAATAATCAATCACTTTCGTGGATAAATCTAACGGAGGGATCATACCTATTGCGGCCTAGCAAAGCGGTCTGTGTCCTATCCATGAGTCGAGCCACAACAAAGTTGACCTACGATTCCTTACCAGTCTTTTGCAACCTTCCAGGAGGATTGGTGACGATTTTAGCATACCCTTCCAAATATTTGACATAGTAGACTTGGCAGACCAGGATGTTGGATTACCATTGGCTTTATACTTAGCTTTCATGATTTTTATCCATAAGCTATATCCTCATTATTCATCACCTTCCATCCCAATTTGGCCACCATCGCTTGGTTCATTGAACCCAGCCTTCGAATGCCTAACCCTAGGCATGACCACGGTTCCAATTTCGGTTCCAGAAATGATTGAATCGGAACCGAAACCGAAACCGAAACCTTAATATAAGGTTCTAGTTAGAACCGCCGGTTCCACGGTTCTAACCGTGATTTCTTTTTGTTTTTTTAATAAAA